GGGAATTACTATGGTAAAACCAAGATTTTTGTTCATGTCTATCTAATAATTCACCATAACGGTCTGCTTCAAAAGTTTTCAACTGTACTTGTAGGAAATTTTCCCAGCTACAACTTTGCTAAAGACTACTTTCTGATTAAATACAAGAATAGAAAGTTATCAATGGTTCAATGCGCTGATGTCTTATGATCATGCTCAATCAACTGCTCAGCAGGCAACATTGGTGTTTCTGGGGCGTTGAATAGGACACACAAATCATGGCTACTATGTCACACTGCAAAATACAGTGTTGCCTACAGAGCAGCTGCTTGATCATGTCATAAGTTTACCAATCTCTTAAATAATTAATAACTTGTTCCTGTCTCGTTTTACATAGAAACAATCTTCAGCAAAGTTGTAGCTGAGAAAATTTTCTATAAGAATGGCTAGCGAACTGTTTCGCAGCTAAATATGGAAAAAGACTAGAAGGCAATGAACAATGAGATTTCCCATCGTAATTTACATGTAAACTTCAAATGGCTTGTGCGAAGTCTGTTTCTAACCAAATGAGTTGTAACTTTGAGAGGCTAATCAGGACTCGATTTGAAACCATTCAAGCACTGTGGAGCGAAAAAGTCAAATTTTGCATCGGTCTAATGTCCATGCTTATAGATCCCATGGGCATAATTTAAAATGTTCTAGGTTCTCCAAACCGTGCTGAAGTTTAGATAAAATGATCTACAAGATCATCCACGACTGATACAATGCCGTTAGTAATGAAACATGTCGAAGCAGATTCGTGCACAGCATTTATATTATCAATACGTCTAAGCCCTTGATGTCCTCTGCTGTCCAAAGAAGTCCTCTCCACTCTACTCGATCCATGGTCACACGTCGCCAGTCTCGTAATATGCGAAGGGTCCGCAGGTCGCCATCTACTTGGTTGATCCTCCTTGTGAGCGCCTCTTCTTCTTGTTCCAGTTGGGTCGCCTTCGAGAACCATTTTCACTGGTTTGTCGTCTGGCATTCTTACGACGTGCTCAGCCCACTTTAGTCGCTCAATTTTTGCAGTGTGGTCGATGGAAGGTTCTTGTAACCGTTCTTTTACAAACTTTTAATTTGATGTTTTTTTAACGTGGACCATGTGATCGAAGCTTCAGGTAAATTTAAACTATAGCGGTGAAACCTAGTGGGCAGACGACACGGCCATGCTTAATGGCTGATTGCTGAATAAGCCGTATTTGACCGCAGCAAAATGTTAAGTTAAAGTTAAGTTGAAGTTATGTTAAAGTAAAATCACAGACAAACAGACATAACACTCGCAAGTTGTTCATCGAACAAGCATTTAACGGATAATTTAAAGTATCGTTGTTGGTAGTACCACCACCCGTGGCGTGCCAAGTCAATTCCCTTGCGTTTGACGTTTACACACTACCGCCATCTGTTCAGCGTAGTGCCCACCACAGTGTACTCAACAGATGGCGGTAATGTTTTAGCGACGATGTTTTACAGTGAGAAATATTATATGTGTTATGTCTGTTTATCTGTGGTAAAATTAAAGTTATGTTAATGTTAACTTAAAGGTAAGTTAAAGTTATGTTAAAGTTATGTTAAAGTTAACTTAAAGGTAAGTTAAAGGTAAGTTAAAGTTATATTAAAGTTAAGTTAAAGTTATGTTGAAGTTAAGTTATAGAAAAGCAAAAGTTATGTTCAAGTAAAGTTAAAGTTATGTTAAAGTTAAATTTATGTTAAAGTTAAGTTAAAATTAAGTTAAAGTTACGTTAAAGTTAAGTTACAGTTATATTAAAGATAGGTTAATCCTAAGTTAAAGTTTTGATAATGTTAAAGTTAAGTTGTTGCAATTGTTCAATTCTTTTTTTTTCTTTGTTTTGTTTTCCGTCGATCTTGTTTTCCGTGCTAAGCACCAATGCTACCGACGCCAGGGAGGCAGCTCCCACACCTGGACCCTACCTATCGACCCACTCATGAACCGGGGACCAACGGCTTTACTTCCCTTCCGAAGGAAGACGTGATCAGATATGTTATGCCTCAGAAAATCCTGGCGGCGCCGACTGCGATTGAACCCAGGCCTGCTGGGGTGAGAGGTAATCACGCTTACCACTACACCACCGGCACCGCTGACTTCAAGATGATGTATGTCGCTTCTGTTTTCAATTCTGAAGCACATGATTTCGGACATGCCCAAGGTTGCCAATTCCGCTTTCGATTTGGCAACTTCTGACCCAGTTGGCAGATATCGACATCAAGGTGATCATAAATAAATGAAATATAGGAGAATCCTTTTGTTAGTAATTCCGAAGGTGTAACTGTCTTTCGTGCGGCTAGCTACCTATTGGAAATGCTGCTGTGAAGACTTTACAGCGTTGATTCTGCAAACCTTCAAATTTTTGCACACAATCATCGAAATTAAGAAGTAAAGGGCGAACACGAAATTACTGCGACACCGAAAATGTCATGCCAATTTTCTTATAATGTTTAGAATCAAACCAAAATTTTAGGGTAGTTTTATACATATATTTACTTCAAAAATCAAAAGAAAAGTTAATCGATGGAGCCTTGAGCGTAAAATTGAACGCATTTTCGCTTGATGCCCTCCATCAAAGTCTTTACAGTGTCATCCGGTACCAGTTTCTCAGTTTTTTTTTCCATTTTCTTAACATGTCCTTCTCGTCTTTGACTGTCTTCTTGCTCTTCCGAAGTTCCCGCTTCATTATTGCCCAGTACTGCTCCACCGGGCGCAGCTCCGGACAGTTTGGCGGTTCATGTCCTTTGGAACAAAATGGACAGATTTGGCCTCATACCACTCCAGGACACTTTTAGAATAGTGGCATGATGCCAAATCTGGCCAAAATAGTGGAGCTTCGTCGTGCTGCTGCAAGAACGGCAAAAGGCGCTTCTCGAGGCATTCAGATTTGTAGATCTCGCCATTTACTGTGCCCTTTGTCACGAAAGGCTCACTCCTCAGTCCGCAAGAGCAGATGGCCTGCCAAATGAGATATTTGGAGGCGAACTTCGACATTTTCTTCTTCTTAAATTTGTCGTCCACATCGAACTTGCTCTTGCCGGTGAAAAACTCCAACCCTGGAATTTGCTTAAAATCGGCTTTTATATACGTTTCGTCGTCCATCACACAGCAGCCATATTTTGTCAGCATCTTCTCGTAGAGCTACCGTGCCCGAGTTTTAGCCGTCGATTGTTGCCGCTCATCGCGGTTTGGGAAGTTCTGTACCTTGTAGTAGTATGTAGTCCAGCTCTCTTCTTTGCATTCTGGACGTAGCTCTGCGACATGCCGATCTTTTTAGCCAAATCACGGCTTGAGACGTTGGGATTTGCTTTAATCATCCGCTTCACCTTTCCCTCCGTCTTTTTGTTCTCCGGTCCCGGTTTTCTTCCAGCTCCTTTGTCGTGGTCCAACTTCTACCGCTCCTGGAACCACTTCAACACTCTGGAGACGGTTGAATGGTGAATGTTCAACATTTTTCCCAACTGCCGGTGCGGCAGGTCAGGAAATTCCAGGTGTTAGGAAAGAATTTGTTCTCTCAACTCGCGTTGGTTCACCTCCATTTTCGTTGAATCGAAAAACACGACTTCGAGTTTGACAGCATGTACACAATACACATCAATGAGAAAGTGTGCAAAATTTGGTTGATTTTTACCCAATGGTAAAAAAGTTATGCCCTGTTGAATGTGTCGCAATAATTTCGTGTTCGCCCTTTACAAAGGAGCCGTTACGAAAGTGCTGACAGATCTTATCTACATTGTTATTTTATACATGCAAATGACTGAAGAGCAGGTGCAAAGCCGACATGAAAATCCGAAAAGTTTTGCCGAAGACGAAGATGAGCAAGGAATCGATGATTGTGACGCTCTGAAAGCAATATTGAATGGTTGTATGTGTCAAACACATACTTTACAACCTCATCTTGTAACTTACAATTACTTATTATCATTATAACATCTAATGATTTTATAATTCAGAAAAAAAAACATTTTTGTATAGCAAGTGAGTAGAAGCAAGCCTGGTTTAAAGTTTAACCGAACGTTTAGCTGGTAAGATTTCGATTTTACTTACTGTCCGTGCCAATACCCTATAGTTGGGCGGTCAAAAATAATGGTGAAAACTTAGCCTCAACATAATAAAACAAGTCAAAGAATTCGATCCGTCTTCTCAAATTTTTGGGTTATATTGTTTGCACCCAACCCAACTTAAAATTCTACTTTTCCCACGCATTCAAAGAGCAAAGTCACGGTCACAAGTCACAATACCGGCACGAGTGATCTTTCTCTCTCTCCGACGCACACTTTACGCGCCAAGCCGCGACGCGTCCTACCGTGCTATGCAACGCTCCGATCGCATGTGGTTGATAAACGAAAGTGAACATTTAAAACAAAATAATCATCCCTTGCCCGCGTGCGTGTAGAACTGGATTTACAACCGAATCCGCATTGGGTGGAGTTGAGTGGTTGAACTTCAATTCAACGTTACGATCGCTTTTCGCACTTGCCGTTGCCATGCGTTCAATCTCTCGGAAAGGCTATCCGGAATGGCGAAAACGAAAAAAAAAAAAAAAAAATGTATGCAGCAAGATGCCAACTAGCAGCACAAAATGTGAATATGTAGCAAGGTCACGGATCACTGCTGGAAGAAACGTTAATTCAACCATTGTTTCATGCTTCTCCTCTTTGATGCTTTCAACCGGTTTAATCGCGTAAGGGTAGTCCCTCGATATGTGATCCCACCCCCCACACGTCCTGTTCCGCCAAGAAGTCAGGTTCAGTGCAAAGAAGAAAAAAAAAAGGGTATCCAACGATCAACGACGACAACTTTTATTGTATCGGGTTTAATTTTTTTGTTCCATTGCTTAAAACTGATAGTGTCAAAAGTACGGCCGAGAACAAGAACGACGTCGAAGAAATGAGAAAACAAGTCTTCCAAGGGGAAGCCTTCTAGCACTTGAACCAGAAGCAAATTGGCATCGGGGTATAAATAGTTCGGTAATGCGGTTCTCCCAGCATCAATCGTGTTTTATCCTTCGAAATAGCGAGTACTGGTATTCCAGCAGCGCGAATAAAATATATCAAATATGAAGCTGTTTGTCGTGGTCTCATCTCTGTTGGCCGTTGCCACTGCTGCCCCACAGCTGCTGACCCAGCATTTGTACGCTGCCGTTCCGACAACTACGTACGTCGCTGCTCCAGTGGCGGTGGCCAGCCAGTATCACGCCCAGGATGCCCTCGGACAGTATACATATGGATATAACGGAGGATTATCGGCAAAGACTGAAGCCAAGTCTTTTGATGGAGTCACCCGTGGAGCGTACAGCTATCTGGATGCTGAGAACAAGCTGCAGACCGTAACTTACACTGCCGATGCCGTCAACGGATTCCGTGCCGAAGCTAGCAACATGCCAGTGGCCCCAGTCGAAACCCGTATGGCCCCAAAGCCAGTGGAAGATACCCCTGAAGTTGCCCAAGCTAAGGTTGAGCATATGGCCGCCGTTGAGGAAGCTAAGGTGCGCAATGCTGCAGCTGAAATGGCTGATGAGGAAGACACGTCCTCTGTCGTTGTGAACGCTGCTCCAGCTGCCCCAGTCGCTGCCTTTGCTCCCATCACCTACGCCGCCGCTGCTCCAGCTGCCCCAGTCGCTGCCTTTGCTCCCATCACCTACGCCGCCGCTGCTCCAGCTGCTGCTCTGGCCCCAGCTTCCGGATTCTCGTACTCCACCTCATCGTTGGCTTACAATAACGAGCCAGTGGCCTACACCACCTACGCCGCTCCAGCTCCAGCATCCTTCTCCTATGCTACATACCGTCAGTCGGCTCCAACTGCTGTCCAGTATAGCGCCATCCATCAGCCAGCCTTCGCTTACTCCTATGGCGTCCCGGCTTACTACACCACCTCCCATATTGCTGCTGCTCCAGTTGCCATTTCCGCTCGTTCTTTGCCCGAGCCAGCTGCCGAAGTTGCTCTACCGGAACCAGTTCAGGATACCCCAGAAGTCGCCCAGGCTAAGGCCGAACATCTGCAGGCTGTTGCCGAGGTCAAGGCTCGCAACCTGCAGTAAATGCATTGCACGGAATGGTGATAACTCGGATCTTCAGACAAACCCACAACATAATCTAGCTCATCGGGAATAATTCTGCTTGCTCTTGTAAAAACTGTACAATTTATATTTGAAAACGAAAAAGCCAATCCCATAGACTGTACGTGTATGTAGTATTTTGTTTGCGTAGAAACGTACAAAAAAAATCGAACATCCAAATAAAACGGAGAAGAATGTGAAATAGTAGAACCATGGCTTGGCAAATTTTAAAACGATATCACATTCAGTCACGAACGAGCAAGCTTCAGGTCAGTCACCTTTTACGTGGGTTTGGAATGAAGTCTTACCACAAAGGCACGGCGTGCTTAATCAATCATGCATGCTCTAGACAGAGTGATGGGTTGCTTTGGTGTGTGGTCTAGAAAGGTCATGCAAAATTTGATCTGCAAGAAACGACCCGATACGTAGATCCCATTATATTATTGACTTATGTAGGTAGTCTCAGGCACTCAGACTGTCCAACAAACAATTCAGAGTCACAAATAAGCATATACATTGAACAAATGCTGTATTACAGCGTATAATGCTAAATAAAACGGGTTGTCGAATTATGTTCTGAAAAAAACTCATTGAGATCGATAGATTCCGCTGTTTGCTCTGATTTGATTAATTTACGTATTAAAAGTTTTATAAGCGAAGTTTGATATAATAACAAACTCAATAAGTGTAATTTGCACATACATTGACGTTCTAATTTGAATGTTTTCAATTGATTTAATAACATGCTTTATTAGACGTCTAGTTAACGTTTTTTAACTCCGTTATCATTGCATTGCTTTACAATAACTAACACTATGAGTCCATGTTTTAGTCACATGCTTTGTAAATGCTTTATAAACGACGTATTAGATTCATTATTGCACAACACTGGTTTAGCCTGGTAGGTGGTTACTTTTTTTATTATAGTTCAATGACTAATTAATTTAAATCGTAATCACCGATCACATCACTCACGACAACGAATTCACTGATCTAGTTTAAAAAGTAACCCAGCATCCTTTACTTGAAAGTAAGAAAATCTGTGAAAAATTCGTTCTGTGAATACCACTCATTTAGATGTTGACAGTTTTATTTTGTTGGCAAACATTCTCAGGTAATTCAGTTTTCATTCAAGCAGCTCTCCCTCCTCAGGGCTCAGGCCGTTTGTGGTGTAAATATTGGACCCGACGAAATTGATGCTATGGAACAGCACATGCGACAGAATATACAACATTACGAACACTTTAGGGTTCGTGTTTGCAATGCCACCGATGGCGATTTGGATAAGGTGAGTACGTGCTTTCCTAATTTTAAGCGAAATCATCGAAATCCCCCTCACTAGATCACCATGCTCTGGCGAAATCTACCCGGAAAGAGAGCGCCGACTCGTTGAAATCGGGACTGCAGGACTATTGCGCAACCAAAGAAGTTGGAAACCACTAGATACCCGAGCAAAGTCCAGCATCAAAATGACAGCAAATTGAAATCAAGTTTTGATATCAACATCAAACTGAAATCATAATTTGATTTCAGTTTACGCAATGGACAAATTTGATACCAAATTTTGTTTTCATTTTACTGTACATTTGCTCTTTAAAAATATGTTGTTGCGCGTTTGTTTTCATTGCTTTAGCATAACATCAAATTGAATACTTGTTTTGTTATCTACAGGAAAAATTGATATCAAATTTAGTTTTCAGTTTGCTTTCACTGATAGCAGAAATAGTTTTCAATGTGATGTCATAGGAAGATTCCCAAGTAACAATTCAGTAACGATTTAGCATCCACTCTGATTTATGATGGTTTTATAACGGCAATGAACAATCCATTTAGTTTAAATATAGCATTTCAAAGTGTAAAACATTCCTGCTTAGTAATTCAGCTTTTTGCTCTTTTAAAAACCTTTTATAGTCTGGCAAGGAAGTCAAAAACTGTCTTGTTTTAAAAATAAATTCAAAACAGTTATCAATCCCTCCTTAAAACTGTCTGTAATTCAAGCATAAACGTCATTACCAATTGTTTATTAATGTCTTGATGAAATACTTTATAAAACGTGTTCTATCATTACAAAAGCAACCATAAAACTATTAGGTTTTGCATTAGAGCAAAAAGCATTTATTGTAGCTTTTTAGGCTTTTTAAAGTGCACAATTAACTCCTGTTTACAAATTGAGCTTAAAAGATGGTTCCTCATAGTTAATAAATGCCAAATTTATGACAAGGAAATCTCGAAGGATAGACGAAGTATGATGAAAAATTCAAGTCGATTTCAGCAAAATTTCCTTCTTTAGAAGAACCATCACACCATCAACGACTGGCCATCTGGCGGAGAAGAGCAAACTGAGCGGGGCCCTCAAATGCATAAAACATTGTCGGAAGTTTAAAAAACATATCAGCCTTCTCCAGATCTTGCGAAAAGATGACAACTGACAGCAAACCACTGAAACTGTTAGTTAGCGGAGATTAGCTGGTTTCCGATCCATAGCAGCGATTTTATTCGGCGAAAGAAATTGAAATACGAAATGTTGTAAAACAGTATCGCAAAATGTCTGAGTAACCAATCTCCCAATCTATCGGGAGAAAACCACCTGGAAGAACCCTGGATCCCACAGCGCAACTATCGGAAAATAATCAAACTTTGACGTTTAACTTTTTGCAGGCGACTTTGCCTCCATAAATGCTGCCATAAATCTGAACGGGTTAGGATCAAGCAAAATGGCTTTAGATAAATACAATTCAGCCTGCAAGTTTTCTTCATAAAAGCCATTTTAAAACCTTATTAACAAGAATTCTTGAAAGCAAAACAACTTTTTCACAAATGACCCATGAAAATCAACTTTTATGCCACCGCCATATTACAATTAGTTTGCTTGTTTTTTACAATCTTTGATTTTCAATCTATATCTCCTTAGATATAACTATATTTTGGTAAATTTAGCAATGAGTAAACATTTAAAAGCGAAAATAATAAAAAAGTCTCGGGCAAGCTCGATCTGAAGAATATTTTTTTATCAATGTTAAATAATTAGTCAAATCGACGTTTTACGAGGGTGGACTTAATTTTTTCGATGTTTTCACGTACATTTCACATAAAATTTAATATGGCACTTAAAACTAGGCCACTTAATGAGAACTATTGTAATAAATTTGGATATTCAACAAGATTTTTATACCATCAGTTTCTATTTTAATTATTTTGATAAGATCGGATTCATAAATCCTTTTCTATCTTGATTGATGCTTTCCTAGTGGATTCAGCATGCGGCTAGGGGAAATGGCTCGGAAAGGGTTTTTATTGTTGCTAAATAGCTTTTATTATAGGTTTCAAATTGTTTTCAATGCGTTCGTCATACAACCTTTTGCAGTCAACCATCAACCAACCAGTCACCATCAATATTGAAGAGCTTCGATAATACACCCTTCAGAACCTTCTCCAGGGTGGGCCAACTAGACATATTCTAGTCTTAATGAGGTTTTGGTGGATGCATTAATGACAAAATAGCCTTGACCAGGGTTTTATGAATGTTGTTTTATAGTTGCTTTGTAGTATTTCATAAAACTTAAAATGTTACTTGGGATTGTTTGCTCTCAATTTTGATATTTTAACCGTTAAGGCGGCCAAAACGACAGCAACCTGAGTAATCATTATCAGCGAAATCACAACATCAAATTTAGATTTCAATTTGATCTCAGACTTTGCTCGGGTAATCCCGCAATTTAAGGCCCAAGCGCAATGACAGCGGAAGCGAAACGGCAGCGGCTATGGAAAAGCCCGATTTAAGTAAACCTACTTGTCGGATTGAACCTAGTTCGAACCAAATCGACTTCGGCTAGGCAACTTGACTACTCATTTGTGACTACTGTCAAATTTGCCGTTTCCGTTCCGTTTCCGCCCACATTGCGTTTGGGCCTTTAGTGATCCATGACCTGTTATTTATTTATTAGTTTATTTATTAGTTTACATCAACAGGCTGAGTGTAGCCCCAATGATGTTTAAGTGACGGTTTAGTGCGTCAGAGAAAATACGGGAAAAGCACCGGCGTAGCATCTCTCGTGTCAGGTTGAAATCGAACACTGAAGAAACTCGATTGAACACACGTTGAAGGCCGTCTATAGCACCGTTCATGCTATAGTTAGTGCGATGCTAAGGCAATCTTAACATAGCGTTATTTCGCAGCGCTCGGGGTTGGACGTTCACGTTGATCTTCTCCAGGATTGTAGAACAATCAATTCTACCCTGAAAAATATCCGCGATGAGCAGGTCCCGCGAAGTGTCACTCCGAGTACGTAGAAGCTCCAGATCAATCAGTTGACATCGACTTTTATAACTGGGTAGACGAAAAGGGTTTCTCCAAAGCAGCTTCCTCAGAGCAAATCGAAGAAATCGACGCTGAACGGACTCAACTCTTTCAGCACCATTGTTATAGCTTGGGTTCCATACTGCAGAGCAATATTCCAGGGTAGACCGCACCAGGGAACAGAATAGCGATAGTATTCTTTGCAATCCTGAAAATGAATCCCAAAGATCTTGACGCCTTGTCGACAATGAACGAGATGTGTTGCTTATACGTTAACTGGGAATCCAGAATAACTCCCAGGTCTTTTACGTGGTTGACACGGCTGATTGTTGTTTCCTGAAGTACATAATTGAACATGATCGGTTCCTTCTTGCGGTTCAAGTTGCACCAGTTAGCAAACGCTTCGAGCTGGCATTGGAGGAAGTGACAGTCATCGATAGAACGGATCCGGATATAGATTTTAAGATCATCTGCACTGCATACGATAGACGAGGGCCTTCGAGGACCAGATTCACGTCGTTAAAGTACAACAGAAAAATCAACGGGCCTAGGTGACTTCCTTGAGGTATTCCTGACGTGGCTGGGTAAGTAGCAGACTGACATTCACCAACGGTTACCATCAGCTGGCGATCACTGTGATAAGAGCGAAACCATCGCAGGAGGTTGCCATTTACCCCGAGTCTATCTAACTTAGCAATTGCAATTGCATGGTTCAGTTTATCGACTGCAGCCGACAAGTCGGTGTAAATTACGTCTGTTTGAGCCCGTTCTGTCATGCTTTCCGTGACGTACGATGTCAGACAAAGTAGATTAGTGGTTGTAGAACGACCGGAAACGAAGCCGTGTTGATCACTACTTAGATACTGCTTACAATGAGAGAGCAGGAGCTCCATGATGACTAACTCGAATAACTTCGAAACTGAGCTCAACGATGTGATTCCACGAATTATCCACGTCCCGTTTGTTTCCCTTTTTGTGAACAGGAAACATATCAGTGCCAACATTTCAAAGGGGCGTAATTGCATTTGTAAACAATGGCTTTACCCGTTGATTTCTCGCGAAAAATAATGACACCAACTGGTAGAGGAATGTTTCCTCTACTAGCTAGCATTGTTAATTTGGAGGGGCGAGCTTTAGTTACGAGAAATCGACGACTAAAGCCATTGTTTACAAAAGCAATTACGCCCCTTTGAAATGTTGGCACTGATATGTGCAAATTTCCAACAAGATGGAAATATACCACTCGAGATGGATATGCGGAATAGATGCTGCAACGGTGTTAGCAAGCTGGCGATATGCTTCTTCAGAAATACTGATGGGACACCATCGGGTCCTGGGTTGAAGGACGACTTAAGTTGTTGTGCGGCAGTGGAAATCATCTCGACGTCGATGTCAATTGCACCCAACGCTTGACCGGAGAGTGGTACATTACTAGCTGCTAGGGTAACGTGGTCGTCGGTTAATATCTCATCAGAGAATACGCTGGCAAACTTGTCTGAAAACGAGCGACAGATCTCCTGAGAGGTGGAAGCAACTTCTCCGTTGAACATCATTGACGATGGTAGGCCAGACTCTTTGCGCTGCTCGTTAACATAATTCCAGAAGGACTTCGGGTGTGACTTGAGTTCACTCTGAATCCCACGTTGATATCGCGAATAGCATCGATGGCTAACTCGCTTGAACTCATGATTGAGCCTAACGTAATGATGTTTCAGCGACAGCGTACGATACTTGGTGAATTTCCTTAGTGCCGCTCGCTTTGTCGATTTTAACTTTCGCAATTGGCTCGTCTGCCAAGGAAGGTGTGACCCTTTTCGGTGAACTCTCTTTGGAACGTGTCTGTCAATGACATACGCCAAGACATGTGAAAAAGTTTGCGCAGCGGTTTCAACGTTATCAGGGTCCAGGACGCTTCCCCAGTCTATTCTAGATAGCACGTCGATGATACTACTTTCCGAAATGTATGTATTTGTTTATAAAATAAAACTAGATGTTTATTATTTATCTTTGTAATTCAATCATTAGATCCAAAAGCAGTCGATGGTACATAATTTATACATTTGACAAATAAAGCCCTATTATACATTATTCACATACACATCACTTTATACATTTGAATGTATAATCCATGTTTATGCTTAGTTCGTATTCTCTCTCTTTTTACCAAACTATGGGTCAAACAGGTCAATAGCAATTTAATGAGATATAAAGAATAATTCTCGCGTCACCTTTCTAATAGACCAACCCAGGGAACCAGATTGAAGTAAAATGGATGGGAAGAATGGAAATGCCAACTCCCTATCTTTAACATTTCTTGGATAGAGTGTGGGCTCTGCTCCCCTTCTCATCCTCCTGTTGGGTGACCTGTTTTTTTTACCGGTTGTATGATCCTGTAGTTGGAAGGATATTATCATTTATCTCGTGGATGCACGTGGACAATGTGCCCTCGGATTCACCCAAACCGTTTTTGGCCCTTTATACCATGGCAGGTTGAGTACAATTAGAGGTTATTAAACTTGATCAAGTCGAACAGCGAGGATAGTCCACAGTCCACCGACTGTTGTCTTGCTGGTAATTCCATATCATCGTGATCGTCGTCAAAGGTATTTGCCAGAAGATCGACCACACTACACAATTCGCACCATAGTTAATTTGGAGAACTACAGTGTTTAAGTTGATCCGACCTATGTTTCAGTAAATTTGAAAGCTTGAATGCCCTTTAGTCCGCCTAGCGCCACCAGTTTGACCAGTAGTGCTTCGACTCTGAGACACAGTTCGAGGAGTCTTGTGCTGCTGAGTTTTTGTCGAGTAGAACTTTATTTTCAAGTGCATGCCGATTTTCATACAAAATTAACAACTTTGACATGTTGTAACTTTGTTCTCATAAGATCAATTGAGCTGAAACGTTCAGAACTACAACTAAAATAGCAGTTTTTGATTTTAAAATTTACTGCTGCAAATATTTTAAACATTTTCAACTATTCAATACATTTGATAATTGGGTGGGGATTGATTGAATTTATTTTTTTCTCAAAATTGAGCTGAAACGCAAATTATTAAAACTGCTATTATTTCGAACAGCTTTACCAAGTGTCTCACTTTCCGGCAGGTGCTTCCGAAAATGTGGTATTTTGTAATCGTAAAATTGAACATATTTTAGTTCTAGGACAAAGGTTTCAGTCAAGGAATAGGTCAGTGTGGCGCATGTGTGCCGCAGTTGTGCCGATTGTGCCGGTCATAGAGCAAGCTGCGATTGTTAATACCCATCCCGGCAACCAGGTATTTCTGACATTTTGAATTTTTTGATTTGAAATCGCAAGGATAAATCGGATTGAGGATGACGTTATTTGTGCTCACGGAATAATAAAAATCCTGTGTTTTAGGGTTTTATAATGCCCTAAAAGGGAGACCAGAAACCTAGACTTTCGTGATGTGAAAGCAACGGTCTATTTGCGGCCGGTAGGGAGCAGTTGTTTGGACCGGTAGGGAACATTGTTGGAGACCGACAATATAGAATGATGAATAGACTTCTGCAGTTTGCTTTGTGTGAGTTGCAGCACTGCCTCTTTCTCTTGAGCCCACTCTAGAACCTACATTTCGTATTTAGATCTATAAGTGAACTGCTGGTCATAATTCCTCTGTTATAGTCAATTAGAGGATGTTCCTGACTATACAGTAAAACAGCACGTAATGTTGTGAACAACTTCCATGACAGTTGTCCAGCAGTGCTCCCATTTTATTTAAAAAAAATAAAAAACCTACGAGATTGTGCCGATGAATGTGCCCAAGCTATGCCGAATCTAATTCCGGCCTCCGTCGTTCAGTAAATTTTGAACCACAGAATTTTTCGGTAAAAGTTTAAAAATCACTGAAAAATCCAATTTTTAGGAAATTTATTCCGAAGTTGTACAGAATTTATTCAGTATGCCCCATTTATTGACGAAAAAATAAATTTATACATTTTCTTGATTTCTCACGTGCAACTTTCATTTGAAAATTTTACCGACTTGTTCTGCTGTTTAAAAACCCGGTAAAATCCTACCGACTTCGGTGATCTGAATTAAGTGTGTACCCCTTGGTTTCAGCTCAATTGATCATAAGACAAAAAAGTTGCATCATGTCAATGTTATTAGCACAGTAATTATGAATATAATTATGAAAAGAAGCTTTTGTGAACACTTGGATGATATAAATAAATATCATAGTAGTTCCATGATTTTTGTTAGGATGGTTCCGCATAGAATTTGTGGACTGTTATAAAGAAAATGTCAAGGGTATTCCAGAGAGATTCTCAAAGAACTCTCTGGAGGGAAAATGATTAAAACAAATGGATAAGAACATAAAAAAGCAGGTAAAGAGTTCTATGAGAATTTTAAATTTAGTTTAAATATACACTAAATTTGCTGTCTTTGTGATACTCATTTAACTTAATGATGCTTACGGCTGAATCACATTCAGTTTATGATGAATTTAAATGTATATCGTACAACCGGGAACATTTCCTGAATTAACGGGGTCATAATGCAAATTTCAATATTGGTTAAATGACTTAGTGAAGTGATCGAGCTAATCACATTCGGCCTGATGGTGTTCAGCCTGTTGGCATCTAGCCTAATACCCCATCTTCAAAAAAATCGCGAAACCTGGCTTCGCCCTTGTGCCAATCAACTCTCCATATCTCGATGTTCTATATTTTGATATGCGATCACTTTTTTTTCTAGCTTCAAACGTTCTAGTAGGCTAATATTGTTCTATATCTTGATCTCTCCTTATCTCGATGTTCTCTTCAAAATCATGATATGGAGATTTGACTGTATTGTAGTAATTATCTTTATATAAGAGGAATGGTCCAATTCTTCAAATGGTGAAGGATTTGGGAAAACTTATTTTTTAGTATTTATATTAGCTCTAGTAAACGCACCGTGCGTACACGCGAGTCATGTTTGTTCTGTCGGCTCTATAGCCTACAGTACTTAAAGCAAGATATAATCTTATTGAATAAATTTCCACTGCATCCCATTGCAACACACTGAAGGACGGCAACCAGCACCTATGTAATTAATTCCGATAGTTGCTTTTAACACTTGACTTCAGCAATCTATCTAACAGTTTGAATTGTGTTGTACGGCTAGTCACACCTATTAGAACCATGCTGCAGGATCAAAGCGCTGTTATTACGGGTGGTGCCAATGGGATTGGATTCAGTATAGCTGCTGAATTTCTCAAAAGTGGAGTTTCGGTAAAGCATATTGTTTGGTGTATGTATATAGATATATAAACATTCTCATCGAATGCTTGGCAGCGAGTGTTAATTTTGGACCTCGGTGAAACGTTGGATCTGGCGAAGAAAACGGAACTCCAAGCCTGCAACGCAAATGCAGCGATATTCTACGCTCAATGCGATATCACCAACAAGCAACAGCTTGAGAAGGTTCTGCGCCAGGATGCCGTTCAGAAGATGGGATCGATTGACATCCTAGTGAATTGTGCCGGAATCTTCGATGAAAGGAACCCTGCACGGTGTATTGCCACAAATTTGGTATGACATTGAATTTATTGCTGATGTTGCTGTGCATGTAATTTCTTTCCATAAATGATCATTTTAATATGTAGACGGCATTGATCGATTGCTCGATGATTGTGATCGATTTGATGACGAAGGAAAAGGCTGGCAGGGGCGGAACTATCGTAAACATTTCATCGATTGCCGGTTTGCAAGAATTCTCCTGTGGTGCAGTTTACTGTGCTTCAAAAAGCGGAGTGATTAGTTTCACCAAATCAGTCGGAGTATGTATGCATGATCGTTCATCTGCTTGACCGTGTATTAAGGATATTGATTGTTTGTTGTTGTTGCTGTTTTAGACGGACCAAATTTTTGAGCTGACAGGCGTAAAAATGGTGGCTATCTGTCCCGGAGCTACTGAAACAGGAATGTACAGTAGTGTCATGGCTGCGAACTGCTCTTTCCCTGCCTTGAAACAAATGCAACAGTTTATCCAGAATATGCCATTGCAAAAGTATGTTTACTTCTAAACAATGTTAATTAAATTATGTTTATACTAATGAGATTTTTTTAGGCCTAGTTCCGTGGGCAGAGCAGTAGTGAAGATTATCAAAGAAGGAACACCTGGGTCTGTTTGGATTTCGGAAAACGATTTAATCTCTGAGGTTGAGCGCAATCCCAATAACTACTTTTGAAGAAGAATATTGCCCTTAAGATTTGGACTAACTAAAAATTATTATTTTCCAAAGGTTTTACTGTACATGATCATTTTAATAGTTTGAAGATTTGAATAAATTTACTACATCATCGTGCAGCACAAATGTTATTTGTTCGCATGGACAGGAATTGCTCGCCCAGTTCTGAATCACAGTATTCGACACAGACACGTCCCAAGTAACAATACAAGCTGAACATTAAGAACAGAAGCTGATTATTGGTTGATTTAAGGTGTACAAGCTGATTAACATCAGGCTGAATATATAGTTGATTAGTAGTGCATGAAGCGAATTGTATCCCCATAATCCAACCTCAATAGGTTAGCTGATGTAAAGATTGAACAAGCCTTATTTAAGCTTAACACAATTCCACAAATCAGCAATGCGTTACACATATTTTGATAGCTTGATTTGTTAAATGTCGTCAGTTTCTGTTGCATGTCCGGCATTTTAGTTCTACTAAATTCACTGCCCAACAAACAATCGTCTATTGAAGAAACGACTTCTTGGCCGTTTTATTCAACTGCATGCTTAATAGTACTTGTGCTATTTTTAATAATAACTTCTGTTCAGGCTTTGTTCACACAAATCTGGAGAATTTATTCAACCACAACATTAAACTACTTGTGTTGTATAAGGTATGTCGAGAAGCTTTTATTCGACTTATATGAGTTGTAACAGAGTTCATACGATAAAATTTTTGATTATTCAGCGTTTATTAGACATCACTGCTTACTTAAAACAGTGATGCTCTGTATACGCTTGATTCTCATGTGAAGTAACGTTTAATTAGACATTATTATACATTTATTAAACGATTATTCAACTGTGAGAAAATTAACCCGAAAATAAGAGGGACGGTGACAGGGAAGGGTGTGTTTCTTAAGTGCGTAATTGTATTCATTATTCCTAACGTGGCTCGCACCACACGATATTAGAAAATTTATTAAATACATACATGTCGTTGTATGGGATTCGAACCATGTACCTTCCGATCACCAGCCGCTTGCCTTGTCATCTGAGCTATCCTATAATTCATCATATGGGCAACTCAATAATCAATAAAAGCTCGCTTGAAAGTAAATACCTATCAGCACTCCCGATCGCAACTCTAGCTCCTTCAAGGCCCTGTGGGAATGATTAATTCATTCATCGTTGTTTAACATGAGACCAATGTTACCTATTCACCACTCCAATCCCAAGGAAGGAATGCTCGGTTATTTTTTAAACTAGATAAATGCATTCATTATCGTAAGTCATGTGATCGATGATTACTATTTAAATTAATTAGACGTAGAACACAAATAAAAAAAAGGGTTGAGCTTGGGATTGAACTCACGACCTTCTAATTGGAAAGCGGAAACGGTAACCACTGCTCTACTGATTTCGCCTTGTTGTTAGACTGAATCAGTGTTGTCGAATAATGAATCTAATATGTCGTTTATAAAACATTTACAAATCATGTGATTACAACATGGACGCATAGTGGTATAATAGCTATTATACTGACTGTATTCACCTTTATTCAGCAATATTGTAAAGTAATGCAATGAAATCTAATAAAGAAGCTGGAGAACATTTATTAGACGTTTAATAAAGCATGTTATTAAATCAATTGAAAACAGTCGAATAAAAGTGTCAATGTATGTACAAATTACACTTTTTTAGTTTGTTATTAGATCAAACTTCTGGCGTTGATATGGGAAGACATTTAACACTTTTACAGCTTTTAATAAGTTAATTAATCAGATCAGAGTAAACAGTGGAATAAATGTGCATCTGTCGATCTCAATGAGCTTTTTCAGCACATAATTCGACAACTCTTTTTATTCAGCATTGTACACTGTTATACAGCATTTATTCAATATATATGCTTATTTGTGACTCTGAATTGTTTGTTGGGTGCCTACCTTTCTAATTACTAATTACATCCAAACGACCATCAAAATAAATCGCGTGCTTGTGTCCACATTGTGTTAAGTGCACTTGAAAATGAGAGGAATGTTTAACTGTAACCAGTTGTTGCTTACAATTCTGCATTGCTGTATAATACTGTTCCGGGTGCTGTTATTCAACTTAAATTTGACGTGCTTCAAGCTAATGATCATACCTTTTACCACACATATGCCTAAATGGTCCAGTAGGTATGGTTGACGCCTACGATTCAGCGACTGCTGGTTCGAATCCCGAAATGCAAAGGTAATTTTTAGACTTATATTAACATTATACATATGTTAATCCAATTAGTCAGCAACAAGTTGAAGCAGTTCCAATATAAATACATAAGATATGAAGCTTCTTCTGAAGCCTTCTATTATTATTTTTGAAAAAAAAAAAACTAGAGGGCTGAACAAGAGTTGGAAAAGACTGTTACTTAATGCCTTAAAAAGCTTATAATGTCTATTACTGTTAAGCTTTTGGCTGATTAAAATCACCAGATTTAGATGTTCAAAAGCTGGACAAAGGTTAACATGGTCTATGTACAGCAATTATTCAATCTAAGGCTAAATTGAAATCGATTAATTAACACTTGTTAAGCATCAAATTGTTACCTGGGGTGTTAGATTAGGCCAAGTCCCAAATAGCGTCCGAGCAGTGGCGATGTGGTAGCTGGTCTCTGTTCGAGTGACACAAGATGGTGATCAATGAGTGCTGTGTGGAGGAGGAGTTTTTCGGTGGAACTACTGTGGACTGGTGATCGCATTTTATTAACTTTCGTTAAATAAGTTTTTGCAAATGTTTTGTTCCCGTGATGCAATGATGCTTGATGTGCTCTCGAATTTCCCTTTGTTACTCGGTATGACCTCAATCGCGTTGATCAATTCAAGGTTGTTTTTTTCATAGCGTACGATCCGTACTATAAAGATATTATTAGCCATAGTAAAATATCAAATAGATTGGTGGGAGTAAAGAATGGTCGACTTTTAAAAGAAGGAAGAATAATGTAATAGCATATATTATTCATGGTACCAAAAATCGCGAAAACAGTATAGATCGAAAGAACTGATTATGTTTAAAAGAAGGAAAAATCCATAAAAATGTTCCACTTTGATTTCTTACCAAATTGCCAAACCCTAATCTTCGAAAACTCAGTGGATATGTAAAATTTCTTCAATACCGAAAAAATCCAAGTCACATAGATTGATGTGAGAAAAGAACGAGCAGCTTTTGAAAGAAGGAAAACGAATGTGATGGAGTATTTTATTCATGTTGCGAAAAATCACGCAACCAATCAAACTCGAAAGAACTGCTCATGTTTGAAAGATGGAAAAATACTTAAAAACATTGCATTTAAGTTGCTGGTCAAATTATGGGAGATGTATAAAATTTATTATTATTTATCAAGATCTCACAAAAAGTTTTCCAATTTTGAATGGTATTATAAAATATCTAAATGTTTTAAATCTTAAAAAAACATAGCTGTGCAAGTAAGCTCGTCAACATTTATTTAAGTCAGCGTTAGATGGAAATCATTCAGCCTGATGACCATTCAGCCTAATGACCTTCGGCCTAATCATCCTAACCATCTTTCATTTTAAATTTAATAAATCGCATTAGAGCAGTTTCACGCCAAATGACGAATCGGATAAAATCGAGCGTCTGCGATTTGTATAATTTTGTGCCATTCACATTTGTTGGCCGCACTGGCCTGAGCGCACCTACCGTGTCAGAACATCCCTGCAGTGGGTTTGACAGCGGAGTGACAGGTACCGATCTGACACCGGGGTGAGTAAGGAAGAGGATAAAAAGATAGAGCCAGACGATTGGAATCGAAAATTATAACATTCTCAGTCCTAAATGTTTCTTATGCATCTATTATTAAATTGAACTTAAATTAATCTTAAACTAGTGAACCTAGGTGCTAAATATTAAAATTAACCGTGAAATTGTTTGAGCCGGTAAGCTGAGATCACTTAAAACTATCTTAAACGAAACTTAATTGCTATTAGTTATAACTAGGTTACCCACAACAATAACACCAGCTTTGCAGTAGTGCCGCAATTCTATTAGACACTACAATCGGTGAGAAACTTAAACTACAGTGTTTCCTCGAAAATTACTATTAATCTACTTAATTATGTAGGATATTGCCGTCAATTGCGTTTCAAAGGTCACGAGAGGATTAAACCATATTAATCTTACCATACGAAAGCCAATCGGTAAGGTCATACATAGGTACAGTAATAAACACAACAAACGCTAAACTCTATTACCATTAGGACAACCACAATAATCAGGTCGAGAACCCACTTAAATCCCAGCCGGGAGTTATATGCTAAAGGAACTAAACGTAAGTCTTACCGGCTAAAATTACAATCTAAACTTACATCTATAAAGCACAAATACTGAATTTAATTGATACTTTTATGAAACACAAAATTGATAACTAATATTGATCACAAATGTCCTGCATCTTACAGGAAAATTATATTCTCCCAAAACCGAATATTGCGTTTTATTGCCGTCGGTGGAGAATTATAACATCGGAAAATTCCTATTGAAACGATTTTCAACAACATATAATATTCGTTTATTGAAACGGTACGGTCGGTCAAGTTATGTCGCGAAGTGGTAGTAAATCCGATGCAACGGATGCCTTTCGAAGTGGATCTAATGAAAGTGGAGTGATGAAAGGAGTAAATGCTACTGGTGGTGATGGTGGTGGTAATCCGGATGTGGTGACATTGGAGGAAACTGTGGAAGGACATACCTGCAGAACGTGTCAAGGTTCTGATACCGACGAAATGGTCCAGTGCGACGTATGTGATGGATGGCACCACTTTTCATGTGTAGGCGTATCGGAGGAAGTTGCCGACAAGAGCTGGAGTTGTACAAACTGCGTGACTGCGAAATGGATCCAGCGAACTAAGGCAGCTTCGGATGGAGCACCTATAAGGGATGACGTCATTCAACATCGGAGATCGCTGCAAGATCTAAGCATCGGGAAGATCGTGACAAGTACCCGTAGCAATCCAGTGATTCCTTCAGTTTCAGCATCACAAAAGTCAGCTAAGTCGTTGACAGTTCCGTCAACCAGTCAGCAGCCAGCGCCTTTAGACTCAGTGTTTTGTCAACCAAAGCAGAAGTCATCGTTGCCTGGCGTAGATGTGCCAGTAATCGTTGCAGAGGAGGCGTTTTCCGAGATTTCCATATCCTCTTCACAAAAATCTGCGAGAAACCGCGCCAAGCTTCAGCTGATGAGATTGCAGGAAGAACGAGCATTTCAGCAGCAGCAAGAAGAGCGCCGAAGACTCGCTGAGGAAAAGGCAGCCGAGGAGTATAAGGAATATCTGGACAACAAGTATAAAATTCTGGAGGACCTGGCGAGCGAAAAAGGATCGAGTCGGAGCTCTAACTCCTCTCGTCGTCGGGTTGAAGAATGGGTGCAAACAACTAACCCTGCACCCTTAGAGATAGCCAAACCCGTCACTCAGGAACAAGCCCGTGAACATGACGGCTTGCAAGAACAGCTACGTCAAGAGCAGCTTCAGGAGAAACAACAGCACCAGGAAACAGCCTTTCAAGAGCAACAACGGCAACAACGGTCGCACGCAGAACAGCTACGAAAGCAGCAACAGAAGCAGTTGGAGAGAGAGCAAAAATTTCGGCAGTTTCAACAGCATCAGCGGCAGGAGCAAATACGCCAGGAGAATCTTTTGCGACAGCAACAGGAAGAGTTAAAGAAGGAAGCGGATGCCATCAATCGAATGTGGGAACAGCAGTTGGAAAAGGAGAAAATTCTACGCGATCAACAACAACAGCTAGCGGATGGTCAAAGGGTCATGCGACGACCGGGAAATATAATTCTGTCCAACCAGATGCCAGATCCACAACTCAACCCCCCACCGGAGAATCTGGAAAAAGGGTTCTGCAGAGAGTCGATACGTGGGCATCCTGGTCAATTCCTACCAGATGCCCTACCACAGTCGACGCAGCTTCATCCGATAGAATTGGATTACCCGCATAGGTCAGCTGCGAATCCTATCGATAGACAGAGTAGGAGGCATTCAATAAACTCTTCTATTGTGGATGATGATGACCAGTTCCAGCTTTCCCGCTCTCAAGTTGCAGCACGACAAGCAGTCTCCAAAGATTTACCTACGTTTTCGGGCGATCCCGAGGAGTGGCCAGTTTTCATATCCATGTACAATCGAACGACTACGATGTGCGGATTTACGGAGGATGAAAACATAGTTCGACTACAGAAAAGCCTGAAAGGAAGAGCTTATGATGCTGTCAAAAGTCGGCTGATGCATTCCGGAAACGTTCCTGGCATTTTATCAACATTGAAGATGCTGTTTGGTCAGCCCGAAGTAATCATACAATCGCTGATTCGTAAGGTGGGCTCTTTATCGCCAATCCGGGAAGACAAGCTGGAAACGCTAGTGGACTTTGCGGTGAACGTTCAAAACTTCTGTGCCACTGTAGACGCGTGTGGACTGCAGGAGTACATGTATAATATTACTTTACTACACCAGCTTGTCGGAAAGCTACCACCGTCGCTTAAACTCAACTGGGCACAGCATCGTCGAACACTGTCAACGGTCAACCTGGCGACCTTCAGTGAGTGGATTTATGGCTTGGCGGAAGCAGCGAGTGTTGTTGTATTCCCCTTGGCGGTTCAAGACGAGAAGCCAACTCGAAATGCACACGGGAATAAGAAAGGAAACACGTACCTTAACGCCCATTCTGAAACCTTTCATCCTAAAAAGAATTACAGCAGCGACTTCGAAGAACCACCAACGGCAGAATCAACATCGTACCAGGAAGCCTGCCCAATCTGCAGGAGAAGTTGCAAGTCGGCTGATAAGTGCAATCGTTTTTTGGAGCTCTCTAGAGAATCGCGCTGGGCCGCCGTAAGGGAATTTGGCTACTGCCGTACATGTCTGCGCATCCATAAAGGATACTGCAAAGCGAAACCGTGTGGCAAAGACGGATGCACCTACCGGCACCACGAGCTGCTGCACAACGATTCGAAGGACAAGCCGAAAAGCACCGAAACTACGGCCAGGCGTGAGCAATCTCCGCAACCCAGCACTAGCAAGTCTGGATGCAACACCCATCAGACAACCGTCAGCTCAGTATTGTTCCGTTATCTCCCAGTAGTGTTGTACGGAAACAAGAGAGCAATACGCACGTATGCATTCTTAGATGAAGGTTCTGCATTAACGCTGCTCGATCAGGAGCTTGCTAACGAGCTTCAGCTTGATGGCACTGTAAGCCCTCTGTGTCTCCGGTGGACTGGAGGAACTGAACGACACGAGGCGGATTCTCGCATCTACAATCTTCACATTGGTGGTGTTAAGAACGAAAGCAAGAAATTCCTCTTGAGTGACGTGAGGACGGTGAAAGAGCTACTGTTGCCCCAGCAAACGATGGACATGGCTGAGTTGTCACAGTTGTATCCACACCTCCAAGATCTGCCGATCGAATCTTATCGCGACGCTCGTCCACGCATTCTTATAGGGATGAAGCACGCCCAGCTCAGTCTTGGCCTGAAAAATCGTGAAGGGGGAATCGGTCAACCAATCGCTATAAAGACACGCCTCGGATGGACGGTATGCGGAGGATGGGGTTCCGGGAGCGACGCC